TCATGTAATTTAAAAAAATACTAATGTATTTAAAATAAAATGCAGGAAATTAAAGTTTAATGTGTGTGGCCCTCCCATCACCTTTCCATTTGACAAAAGTCGATTTTTCAGTCGCTTTTCCTTGAAATTGCTGGGCAGGCAAAGAAATTGTTGGCCACACATTGTATTCTGACAATGGTGGGCGCTGGCTGTCAGAACACAATAGCCAGCAGGAGAGATTCCCTCACCCACACTGTTCAGCATTGATGGAGGAATGCAGAACAATACCATCAGCTGTAGAGGACTACAAATCCCAGCGATACAATATACAGCAATGCAGAAAAATACCATCAGCTACAGAGAACTACAAATCTCAGCAATACATTATACAGCAATGAAGAATAACATAAGATATAGAGGATTTAAAATCTCAGCAAAACATTATACAGCAATGCAGAATGGCACTGGCTATAGAGGACTACAAATCCCAGCAATGCATTACACTGTAATGCAGAATGGCACTGGCCATAGGAGGACTATTATCTCAGCAATACATTATATAACAATGCAGAATAATACAATCAGCTATAGAGGACTACAAATCCCAGCAAAACATTATATGGCAATGTAGAATGGCACCATCTTTTTTTTTTTTTGGAAAACCATTTCATTGCATGCTCTGACAGATTACAAAGCATCCTCCTCCCCTCTTGTGTTAAGCAATCACACCAGCAAGGCATTCATTGCAGAGCCATCATCCGACCCCCCCAACCGCCTTTCCCACCACCACGGTACACCCCTGGGCCATTTTAGGTCAATGTAGTTGATGAAATATAACCAGATGGCCATATAAGGTCAATGACATCATAGCATCCTGTCCCTTTGCTTACATGCAGCTGCAAATGGGGAATTCCCCTTCTGCAGCTGATAGTGCAAGAGTGGAAGGAGCGTCCTCTTGGGTTCGGAGGAGTTCAGAGGATCCTGGCCTGAACCTGAGCTCATCCCCATTGTAAATGTATCTATATATACTGCCCTCGTCTGCAACAATGCTGTATTCGCAGAGTGCTTGCTACTGTTAGATAAGTGACCAGTCTACCCCACGCTGATACTGTAATTAGCTCCCGAACCGCCAGCTACGCCCACCTACTGCAGCCATTTCGAGGGTGTCTTCTTTTAAATTTCTTTTACAGAACAGAAAATGCAGATTTGGGGCGGGGCTTAATTTACCATGACACGCTTGGGCTGGCACCTAGGGGACCAGAGTTAATGAGAACAGCACCAAATATTCTTTTATATCTGTCTTATGTTAGACAATTGTGGTAAACCCAATTGAAGAGCTGAAGAAAGATTGAGGGGCAGGGGCTTCTGGGAGGACTCTATGTAGGCTGTCAACTGACAGCCAATCATTTGGGGGTTTTATTTCCACCAGGCTCTTTTAGTTCAGTGGGAACTCTGCATCAAAGGCATACAGAATGCAGTCCCTATTAGGGTATTTGGTTTTAATTCTGACATATAGTTGTCAGGACTGAAGATGGAGACTGTACGAAAGTGTGACATCACCCCAATGTGCCTCGAGCATCCTATACAGCTCTGACAGGCAAAGTGAGACTCTGCAGCAGGTGCAGGTAAAGTGCTGGGAACGCTGTTGTAAAAATCCCACTAATGGAGGAGTGCACAAGAGATGCAATAATAATAAAACCCAACTAGTGGGCATGGCCGGACGGGACACGAACTGCATTGTTTGATGTTTGTACAGCTAATATAGCGGCAACAGTAAACACTTTATCCCTAAATGGCAGCTGTTCACCGAGAAACCATTAAGACTAATGGTGATGAGAGAGTCATAAATCATATTCTTCAGCCGCAACCTCTCAGAATTCAGTGTATTCCTCCGAGAAGGAAGCTTCTGAGAGATAATTGTAGTGAAAACAAATATCTTTATAGAGATGGAAATTACACAATTGAGGCTTTTATCTCAAGACTACCGATTACCCGCTGCCTAACAGAGGAATGGTGGCCAATGGGCAGATCCTTCTGTATCCCGAATAATTCTGAGGGCAAGCCTCATCCTAAGCCAGGTCAACCTCTAGCCGAGAATTAGTGATGTCACTGGTCTCTGGTGATGGGATAGGCTGCGTTCTCATGAATATGAAGGGTCTCTGTGATGTCACTGGTCTCTA